GGTGGGAAAAAGTAAACAAAGCTGGGGCATAGAAGCAGAACCAAGTCGTGTGTGGAGGGACAGTAACTGTGTGTGTATATGTAAGCATTTAAACACTGCAGAGAGTACAATTAACAGTAACAGTATTGTAGAAATTCATTTCACCGAAACAATAACGTGGCGCACAATGTGACGTCAAAAAAGGCGCACATCTTTGAAGCTGCGTTTTCTCCGTTTTTCTCATCCACACGTAAATGCAAAAACGGAGTTTTAGAAAATATCCACCCTGGCCGAGTTTTTAGAAATCTCCGTTTTCAGTGACCGAAAACGCCGTTTACGTGTGGACAAAAGGTGCAAACACATAGAAAAATCTGCGTTTTCAAAAATACCTGGGTACGTGTGGACATAGCCTTTAACTGAAAATGTTTAAGTGTCTTTAAAAATGCTCAAATGTTTCCCAAAGCCAACACAGAGTCAGATACTCTGATCATTGAACAGGTAAGCTTCACTAGAAGTGAAGACTGGGGCACATTATTACATGAAAATGACATAACCTTTCTATAGCTGTGATATTTTGCAGGCTGTTTTACTTAACAGTCTCACTAAAGTGATGTATAATATCATGTGTGACAGACTTCTGTGGTTGTGTATCCTTCTGTATTTATCTTATGTATGTAGTTAAGCTCTGCTAATGTTTGTGACTATTATAAAATCAGCTACAAGAAGTCAAGACAAGCCAAATGGCTTTATGACTTGTGGAATGCTTCAGTCTCAGAATGAGACTTGAATGGGATGCAGCACTTCATAAGGTACTGTCTACAGAACTGTTTTGCAATTGACCTGTGATTTTTGTTTGGATTGATAAATAGTGAGTAATTATATTAACGCAATTAGGCCTATATAGATAGACATATTTCAGGTACTTGCTTTGAGCTTTTTAACAATAAAAATCAATTTTAAACAAATATTTTTTTTTACTTCATAAAAAGGTTAGTACAGTAGAGTGGGAGCGGAAAAAATCTAATTCACCACTGTGGCAGTATACTTGGAATAATTGTCATCAATATTGGGTAAAACCATTTGCAGGGTATCACATATAAGATGGTCTTCCTAGCGTAATGGTCCAGGGTCACCTGGCACAAGACGATAGTGGGAGTTGAGCCACCTGAGAAGAGATCTCAAAACTTCCCTGTAGGTAGCCGACAGTTGGTGTTGTAAGCCAGCCCCTGTGTTGTGGGCCTCTTTCACTGCTCTTTCAGACCATCTGTCTTCTCTGTCCAAAAATTTGAACATTGGCTGGGTTTGAAGTGCACTGGGATGACGTGCTCGGGAAAAACAAAACAAAACAAAACAAAACAAAAAACCTTCTCCTAAGTTTCTTCGATAAAGCTGCTATATAAGGGATGACAACGTTGTTCCGTTTGTCATTCTGTTTCTCCCTAGTTGGTGTCCGACGTTCTTTCCTGTGCATCTTTGCTGATTTAATGAAAGCCCAGTCGGGATAACTACATGTTTTAATGTAAGGGGCAGGTGCCATTGGGGTTTAAATACCTGGGACTCTCCACCATTTAAAGAAAGATTGTAGGCTAATTCTTGCTTCTTTCTTAAAGTAAGTATATCGAATCAGGCCACAGAGAATTCCAAGTTGGGTTCTTTATGCTTCCAGACATCACATCGAACTGTCAAACATTATAAAATTTAATTGAGATGTTCAGGTTTGAAAATCAAGCAGTGCAGTCTGTGTTTAAAGACTGCCACCCTGTGGTAAATCTTTGTCACTACAAATTACTTCCTGTTCGTTTTATAAAGGGATATGTAGCCCAGTTTGTTCTGATTGTTGCTATAAAATGTCTTTATTTGATCACACATTTGAAGTCACTACAAACAGCTGCTGCTTACGAGATTCAATCAAATGTCCTAGCTCTGGGTTCTT